CGTTAGTAGTACGTCAAAGTCTAAGTGATTTTTCAAAAGCAAGTTCCCACAGACCTGGCAGCAATGATATATCAATCTGGCTTCATAAAACAAAATAGATCCAATTACGACAAAAATTTATCTTCAGTGTTTGATTGTTTCGTAACTATACCAACGATATCCTCGCTCAAAAAAAACTCAGGCGATTATTGATAAGACCAGAAAAATGATCACACATAATTTGACCCGTAAACATTGAAGTTTTTTTCTCCATGGCACTTGTCGCACAAACATATTGTTGGGTTTATTGACTGAAATTGAAGATCTTTCTTAAGATTACGTAAATGGGGAAGTACAAAAAAAACTTCCATCCGTCGATGTTTTTTGCCACTTCATAATTCTATTTATTTTCTAAGTCGTTCTGCAAGGTTACAACACAATGAAATATTGATTTATAGATTTCGAGAAGGATGCCTAATTAAAATATCGAACGGAAATGTATTCACAATTTCTTACTTTCATGCATTCGGAATGATCGTAAAATATACTTAGAATGCAAAAAATTATGTAAAATTGAAAATTATACTTCCATGTGTAATTGCCTATTCGTTGACTGATTGCTTTTCTCCTTTTTTCTACTTGTTTACCAATACATGCGAATACCCAAGTATTACGTATATTGCTATAAAAATGAACAACTTATTGCTCATTCATTATGTCATTCATATCCTTAATTCAAGTCTTCAAGTAATTTCATCCGCAGTCTTGTTGGTCTTGAATCCATGATATTATGTTTGAATAACTACTCAATTTTATTAATATAATGATCAACATTCTTCGTGAAATAGTAATTAAAGGTAGGGCTGCCCACGATACCGAGACGATACCACGTCCAAAATTCCCACAATTAAAAAAGCGCTTTTTTTACACATAAAATGCAACTACATTCTTTTTTTTTCTTTTTTTTATTAAATACTTCTATTTTTTTAGCGCATATTTAATACTTACAATAAATACAGTATGCTACTAAATGAAGCAAAAAAAAATGGAAAAATACAATAATGGAAACATAAAAAAACCAAAATACAATGATTAAACTCGAGTCACTGAGTGACCAATGTTTATTATAATTAGACATATACTGAACGTTAATTTTTTTTAAGCCTGTTTTTTGCTTCCGAAGGGAAGCATTGTTTTTGGTCGATTTTTCGATTTTCTAATTTTGATTGCAAATGGTCCAAGACATCATGAAACGTGAAGAAATGATGTTTTTAAGGTCATGTCTGTATGTGTGTATGTGCAAATTCGCGTTTTTCGGGTTTTATTTTTAGAAAATTAAACATAAATACGCTGAAATTCGGAGCTAAAAATCTGAAATTTTGTGTCATGATAGCCATCAATGAGCCCCATTATGGTGCTTCATTTCAGCTCGATCGGTCCAGTAGTTCTCGAGATATAACCACTTGTTTCTATTTTGTTTTTGATCTATATTTCGCCAACCACTGCACCGATTTCAACTTTTTTTTTTCAAAATATTCGTCTCAATGCCTTCTATCTAAGCCACTCATAGCATATATATTACTCATACAGAGTTTAGAGATATAGCCGTTTATTCGTTTTTACACCGAAAACCTTGTACGCACAATAACTCAATAAAAAAAGAGATAGCGACTTGAAATTTTGTACGCTGCTAGCATTTGTGATATAGACGGTTCGTATTTCAGATGGGGAAAATCGTACGGACATTTGAACATTTGAACCAAGTTAGGTTGTATCAGTAATTTCGACCTTTCGGACACCTCTATTTCGCTAAAAATATAGAGATTTAGTTCAAGTTCATGTTGTTTGCGAGTGAAAGTTTTATGGTTGTGTAATCTGGTAAGTAGTATATAAATTATTTTCCTGTAATGCAATGTCACTTACTGAAAAACTCTATCATCGTGGTGTGGAATCATATGAAGAGGACGAGAGAGAAACATTGATTTCGACTGAGGTGTTTTGTAAATAGCTCCGATGAAGAGAGTACTTTAATAAAATTCATAAAATGTTCGTAATTGAATTTTCTAGGTTCACCAATTGAACGTCCGTCTGTTTTAATGGAAAATAGTCCTTTTCTCAAGTGAGAAATCTTACAGATTTACCTCCAGACTTGATTAAACTGACTGACGATTGGAGAGACTGATTAAACTTACTTTGCGGTTAGAATAATATTCGTGTAGAGATTGAATTGTATTTTTGTCGTAGAATTTGACTTGCAAGATTTTTTTTTAGTTTCCATGTCGTCCAATCGACAAAATGCCACTAGTTATAGCTGTCTCCTTGAATAAGCTTGAATGAGTGCAATGCTATTGCTATACTTGTTAAATTATTCAGGAGTAACCAGTATTAATATGGGATTTTCTCACCAAACAAAACGAAAAACTTACTCTTGGGTTATTTCTTTTCTGTAACATTATCAATTGGACAGGGATATTTTAGGTGCATTTCCGTTCCCTTATTAGTAGCTTATTGTGAATACTGTAATAGTTTATTCCAGTTTAAAAACAACTTGTTTCAATGTAAATTCATGTAAATATTTGTAAATATTTGTAAATACCTTAGTAAACTTGAATAAAAACATGGTTAAAAAAAAATACCACGTCCAAAATTTTCGAGACGATACCAAGACGATGCTCGCGTAAACAAGAGTTGTAATCTATGGGTTTTAAGGGCAGGGTTGACAGATAGAGAAAGTCAACTAATGCAAGAAGGAAAGTCGCCAGAAGTCGTCAATTGGAGGACGAGAATTCACCGCATAAATCTCCAGTGGCAGCTCTCGGTTGACATTTTGAAAAATCTTAAAGGTGAATCTTGCATGGGTCAAACAGTCATACCTGCAAGAGTTGTACCTCGCGAGGGTCAAATCGCAAGGAACATACATCATAAGGTTACGCCGAGTGGGCGTCAAACATCACAAGGATCTTAACTCGCAAGGGTTAAACAGTAGAAGCCAACATGATAATTGTGAGGGTCAAACGACCAGAAGGGTGAACCGGGAGAGGCAGAGAGGACAATCCACAGGGTCAAATTTGAGGGGAAGAGAGGACAATCACGAGAGTCGACCGATTGCAAAAAAGTCAAACAAAGAAACCTAATTCTTTTGATAGATTTATGATCCTCCCTGGGTCTCCCCGCTGGCCCTCGTGCTCGTTTGACCCTAAAAATTCTCCTGACTCTATTACTCGACTCTTGTGATAGTTTGACCCCTTCGAGGCCCGAGACTTTTGTGAGGTATGATTCTTGTGACGTTTCATCTTCCCGATCTTAAACTGAGAGATAAAATTTTGCTTTTCTCTCAATTGAACGAGACTAACAAGACGAGACTAAACTTCAGTTTTCGCAACTCCGGCGAGATCGACACGAAGTTGAAACCATACTGCAGCGCGACAGAGATGATACCAAGAATTTTGAATTTTAATGAGACCAAGATGAGACCTTTCCATATCCCGACTCGTCTCATCTCGTGCACAGCCCTATTTACTAGTGATGAATTATCGATTTTAGCCGGTCATATTTTGAAAATTTCTAATTTCCTCTTTTTTTAGTGACGAGAGTTCTATTCTATTCCTTTGATTGGCTATATCCCTTCTCTTATTAAAGTAGAGGGCAAGTGCCGATAATGATGAGAGTTGCTTGATTTCTGTTCAAATCTGTGAAGATATGAACCGAATTTTCATTGATGTGAACACTTCTATTTTCGTCGCCGAGCGGGCAGGGAGGCTGGAGGAAAAAGGCCTGAGCGGTCGTTATGTAATGGCGTCATCTATCGGAATTCTGGAACATTCTCGATTTTTTTAGAAAATTTTAGATTGTTTCCATTCACTATAAAGTTATTTTGAATTTTGAATGTTTTTTAGAAAATGCGAGAAAATTCTCGTTTTTTGAAAATAAATTACAATGTTGAGAGATCTTTATCGCTGGTCGGTAATATCCCGACAGCTGGTTATTATTGCACAAAGTAGATAAAATTTGTGAATCCGTCTTTCAGGAAAAATCATCATCTCATATAGAGGAAAATTTATCAACAAATATTTTGTCCCTAAGTTACAAGATTGTTATCATATCATTATTATTGTTTCATTTAAGGGTTCATTTCTTGTCCGTGAATATTAGACAGCCGAAACGAGAAACTACTATCCCCTGTTTCGCATAAAACAAAGATTTTTCGGGAGAAAAATACGTATGGGAGTATCGAATAACGAAGGAGTACACGTATGAAAAAATCGTATAGAAGTTTTCTGTACGGATTGTGTATAGAATTTTTATAGGATTTCCGTATATGATATTCGGATATTTCTATATGAATATTTTCTATACGAATTATTTCTATAAATAAATTTTTGCATAAATTTTTGTTTTCATACGAAAGATGTCTAAACAGTCCAGAGAAAAACGTAGAGAAATGTCGCAACTCCATACGAAATGTTTCTATACATGTGGCAGTAGGTCGTATAGGATCAAACCTATAGAAATCGTATAGAAATAATTTGTATAAAAAATATCCGTATAAAAATATTCGAATATCATATACGAAAGTCCTATAGAAATTCTATACGCAATGCGTATAGAAAATTTCTATACGATGTTTTCATACATGTAGTGCTAGAAATGACATTTCTTGCGTGTACAGTGAATGCAGTTTTTTTTCAACTACTAAATCTATTTTTGCGACAAAAATTTTTCATCCCGACGCACTCTCTGCATGTTTGGCACAAAAAAATCCTTTTTTGATAATGTTCAAAAAACTATTTTCTTGGCACAAGTAACACTTGTTTGAGAACTTTGTCGTTTCTCTCTCTGTGTAGTTAGCCCGCACGAAGTGCACGTCCTGCTTAATCAAGATAAATTGAACCTATGGATGTCGTTTGGCAACCTAAACTCAGTAAACTCGCCCTAAACTCAATCAGCCCGTTATAACACGTCCAGGTTATTAGGTATGCAAAACGACTAAACCATTGCTATCGATCAAAAATTGTTCTACATTTCTCTTGCAAACAAAGTTTTTCGTTTATTCAAGCTCTTACATGTGCCAACATAAAATACAGTTCATGAATAGATGAATTCACTATTTCAGCTGTCGAAGTTTTTTCTTGAGAATCTTGCCAGCGGTACTTTTTGGTATTTGATCGATGAATTGGACTTGGTCAATGTGTTTGTACTTGGCAAGACGTTCAGCAACGTAATTTTTTATTTCTTCCTCTGTAGTTTTGGCATTCGCCTTTAACACGATGAATGCCTTTGGTGCTTCACCAAATTTTTCATGGGGTATTCCAATTACCGCGACATCCGCGACGCTATCGTGACCATAAATGACGTTCTCAAGTTCAGCTGGAGCCACCTGGTAGCCCTTGACTTTGATGAGTTCCTTCACACGTTCAGTTACAAATAATTCCCCTACACAAGAGTAATTAAAATGCGGAATAATTTAATTTTATAATTTCATTGCAATGTATTTTTCGTCATACAAGATTAGTCCGCGCACTTTGCGCGCGTACGGCGTACTCCATAAGGCTTAATGTATGTCAGTTGTAGTGAATAGTATTATACTAGATTTCTGATGAAGTGATGATAGCATACATTGAAGATATTACGATAATACTATATCATATTATATTCTAAACTATATTATATATACTATGTATAATATACAACATATAATAGAGTACTATATGTATTATAAAATATAATATACATAAAAAAATTAAATAGTAAACTGAGAATAACAATAACATACATTGTGTATACGGCTATTGTTATTTTCGGGGCTCAGATCATGAGGAACCCATCTACCCTCCTTTTGAATTTTGCCAAGTTGATGTAGGCGATGAGAAATGTATTGTTGAGTCACTCTGAGTTGTAGTGCAAGCTCTGTTTGGCTTTGAGCAGAATTTTCAGCCAAGAGTTGTTCGAGTTATTCATCGCCGAATTTTTGCGGTTGACCCGGCCGTTCTCGATCCGAAAGATCGAAATCTCCGACTCTAAACCTCTGGTACCACTTTTTACACGTTTTGTGGTACAGCGTTTTTTCCAAGAGTTTTTTCCAATATATACCTATATATTACATATTTTCTCGATACATGATTAAAGTCATTTTAAGGTACTTCCGCAGTAAGTTTTGAGGGCATAGGGTGGGGATGAACATCAAAGGTTCCGACACTCCGCTGCATCGTACGAAAAAAAAAATATGAAAATGAAAAATGTTCATGGGTAAATAGAAACCCTTTCAATTCCCTTCATTTGAGTTTTTTATGTTGAATTAATGGGTGAAAAATGATTTTTACCCTTGGAAATTATTTATATTATTTTATTTATTAATTAAGATTTTCGTAATACGTTTGGCAATAGCGCGTTTTTGTCCGTGGAGTTGGCACACTTGTCTCGCGGTATATCCAATACCATACTGTGGAATCTCTACAGTATAATGCTTGGCGGCAATAGAAGGTTATGTTGCTGAGGTTATGTTGTTCGTGTGCTGTCAAAATATTTTGTTCGATTTGACTTTGATTTGATCAAAAACATTTGTGAAACAAAAGATGGAAAATTCTGAGAATGATTCGCGAGTGAGGTATAAAGGAAGATTCATCAAAGCAAAAATAAAAAAACAAAAAATTGCTGTCCAAACTGCGGGAAAAGCCAATAAAGGAGGTGGGTTAGCAAACCTGAGGTCGAGCTCAACACATCTGGACCATCTGAAGCACCCGAATTAGCAAAATGTGACAATCGCATTGTGAACCTAACTCTGTTGGGTAATGAGCTCCAATGTGCTTTGGCTTTACGCAACGCCCCCCCCCCCCACTAGCGCTCTAACCTTCTCCCAACGTTGCCGTGCTTCACCACCATTTTTCCATAACCCCAGCACTATTTCATACGTTTTTTGATATTTCTCAATAATTGCGTGGTAAAACATAAAAAAAAGTGTCGATTTATATTCATGGATAATATACGATGTGATTTTGCCAGCGTTCAAGCGTCTAGCATATTGTCGATGATTTTTTAAAATTAGTTGAAAAGTGGGTGCCATTTGACCCTGTACAAATTGACTTATTTTAATAATTTTTTAACAAAAATCTGGGTGGTTGGTTGTTATGGGACTCGCAGGATATATTTCTACCTATCACGAGAATATATCCGCAAAGTTTCAAATCTGTAGCATATTGTCATTTATTCCCATTAACTTACTGTGGAAGTACCTTAAGGTGTTTTCACCAAATTTTCGCAATTTTAAGAAGAAAAAATTGAAAAAAAATAGATCCTGGATGGAACCCAACATATATAACGGCTCAAAATTTTCGTTTTCATTATAAGAATTACTGAAAAAAAAATTAAAATAATCGACCGTGACGTAATTGGCAAAATTCAAGTTTTTAAACTTTTTTTTTCCAAAAATCCGTCATTTCGAGCATCTAAAGATTGGAAAAAATTAAAAAAAAAACATTCTAATAGGTGGTGAAAAATGGAAAATTTTGCCCCCTAATAAATCGAAATCGGATGGGTAAAACTCGAGTTATTGTAAAAAAACTGAACAATTTGAAAAAAATCATATTTCCGAACTGAGCTGTCAAAAAAATCTGAAAAAATTTGAGAGATAGTTTTTTAAGGCTCCTAATCGTAGAAAAAATCGCCATCAATTTTCAAAACGGTGAGGGTTAGCCGTTGACTCATTTGGCATGGAATACCTCATATAAATAAACACGTGAGACCCACGTGTTTTGAATTTATTTATTCCCATCAATAAATAACCTTCCTAAAAAAATTGTTCATCAACTCTGAGTGTTGATTGAACGATTGTGTAGGGAAATTCATAAGAATTCATAAGAGTATTTTGTGAAAAAAATTATTGCCCGTTGGTTATACTCAATGCTAACGATCTTTTCAAATTTGCGCATCACTGGTTAAGTTAAGTTAATTCATTCATCTTCCCCATAGCAATGATAATCAAAAGGGATAGAAAAATTATTTTTTTCCTCTCCTGTTTACATTGTCTTTCTATCCTCCCATCACCGTTTACCGGAAAATCCGTAATGGTTCGTATACGATTTCGAATTCGATTTGGAATTCACCGCTGGCGTATTAATACGTACCGACCCTTCTGCGCATGCTCTGACGGCGAAGGGGAACAACTTGAACATAGCCGCCCAAAGGTAAAGAAATTTCAGTTGGACTATACCAACATACAAAATATTGAAATATTAAGTTTTTGAACGCAATTATAAACCGCGAAATATAGGGGCACCTTATTAATTTGTACACCTAATACCATTATGTATACATAATGTATTATAATATAGTATAGTATAGAATATAATATAGTATTATCGTAATGTCTTTAATGTATGCTATCATTTAAGAAAAATCTAATGACACAATACGCCGAATAAATTGGCTCCAAAAAATGTTACACCGGATTTTTTATTAAAGGATTATTTCTGAACTTCAATGAGTACCTTTGTCATTGATATACCCCAAGTCTCCTGTTTTGAACCACTCTCCCTCCATACAATCCTCAGTGGCCTTCGTATTCTTGTAATATCCCTTCATCACCTGTGGCCCTTTGACCACAATCTCTCCAGTTTCGTCGATCCCCAAGTTCATTCCGGTGTTCTCATTATTTCTTCCAACTATTCGAATACGAGTATTCACACTTATCAAACCAACAGATTGGCAATCCGAATATTTCGATTTCGTTATCATCGGTGAAGTCTCGGTCAATCCGTAAGCCTGGGTAAATTGGCAGTTTGTACTCATTTTCGACTGGAATTTTGTGATCAATTCTAATCCAAGTGGGGCTGCTCCACTCATAACGCACTTGACCCTCTCCATGTGTTTTTTGCTGAATCTGGAGTCATTTGCTATGAGTTGGACAACCGGAGGAGCTAAGTGCAATTCTGTGACTTCGTTATTCTCAAGGACATCTAGTAAATTGTTTGATGTGAATTCAGGCATTAAAATAAGTTTGCCACCACAACTAGAAAGGGAAATGATAACTATTAGAATGAATGACCTAAAGAGAAATTCGATCTGAAGGTCTTATTGAAATGGATTTTTATTATACTGGAAGACCCCCATGCTATCGCTTGGTGTATGTCAAACGCTGTTCGCAGACTATAAAGAAAAATTTGCTTGGTCACTCGGCCGGAAAAACTTTTCTGACTCACGAGTGTCATTGCAGTCCTTGGTTTCGCCTTGGTCTACACCCCTAACACTCGCCCAGAGAATTTTTCCCGGCCTTGGGGCTAAATATATATTTTCATCACACTGTGCGAAAAAGTAATTTTTTATTAACGTCTCGTTTAATGTTTAAAACGTCACGTTTCCACACATTGTGATGAAAAATATAGTTCGATACTCATGGGAAAAGTGTTTTTTGACTCGTGGAAGGTTTATAACACGAGCAGAAGGCGAGGCCAAAATAGTACGTTTCGTCATTAGGCTTAAAAAAAATTAAAAAGTTTTTTTAAGTCGTATGTCGAATGATATTTTTTGTCATAACCGCTGTAAGCAGCGATTTACGAACGCGTAGCGTTCGCACAGCGCTGCGTTACGGCCGGAATGACGAAAAACACTTTTCCACACTCATATCGACATATACTATTTTGACACTACTGCTACGTTCACCTCGTGCTGAAAAGTGTCTTTTCCTTTACTCAGAAACGAAAAGTAAACGAAAAATCTTTTCGTGTACTTGTAAATGAAAAAGACACAGTTCGGGCACTCGCCGAACGTAACATTTGTGTCAAAAAATATGGTTCTACACATGTGAGACGGAATTTTCACGAGTGTGAAGTTGGCGGCCCAAGGCGAAGCCGAGGATCCAAAAATTCATAAATCCCGAACAGTTGACGGAATCGAAAAATTTATTGGATGTGATAGGGGAGGGTGGGGCAAAACGGCCCCCCTTCAATTGTCAATAACTTGTGAATGACATTGTGAAAATTTCCAGTTTCAACTTCATTTTGAAGATAATTTTTCATTCTTCAAAACGAGCTCTAACTCATCCCAATCGGATTATTGAATCGGAAAATATTGACGATTGAAGGGGGGCCGTTTTGCCCCATCCTCCCCTATATATAGTTAAAATGCATGATTGAAATAATCCCCCTACTAATTGGAGACCACGAGGTTCCCCATTTCATGAGTTGGCATGGAACGTCCTATATAATAATCTTTATAAGATGCTATATAACACAAATATAATCTCCATAAATATTACGTCGCTGCATTCTTCAATCTCTATCACTTTTGGACTATATTGTTTTGGGCCTTATCACGATTTCCTATTGCAATTTTTTATGGTAGAGAGCTATTGTACATTCACCTGAGGAAACTGTAAAGAGAGGCGACCAAACCGTAGATATGATAAAGAGGTAGAAACGTAGGTAAGATTTCTTGGAATTCACCAACAGCTGGTTCTGAAAAAGTATAACTTGGTTCCGCTAGTTGCGTTAAATTAGCAACAAGGTTCCTACAACAACATTTCAGTAATAATAAAACTTCCTTAATAGGTACATGTAAATTTTTCTGGAGGGGCTGGTCACTTAGGAAATCACTCGACTACTCGATTGGAAATCAAGAAAGAAATCACTGCAAATCAAACGATTCCCATGTCCGGTAACGATTTGTAATTATTTCTGGAAATCATCGAAAATCAGCAGAAATCATCAAGAAGTCAGGTGATTTCAGAAATAATTAGATATCATCGGTGAAAGTGAAACCCAAATTTTTTATACGAGCTCACTCATACGGTTCCGTCTGACCCTCATGACCTTCTTATGCACATGTCACTTGATTCTTGCTATCACATCTACAAGACCCTTCTAAAGTCTTTGCTTCTCATCATCATCCATATGTGATTATCGGTAGATGCACCACTTTGGTTCCGAAATTATGATTTTTCGAGTGATTTCTTGAAATCAAGAAATCCTCAGAATCCACTAGAAATCATGGAAATGAAAAAAATCAAAAGAAATCTTGATTTCAAAAAGGAAAGAAATCATGAAAATGAAAAAAATCAAAAGAAATCATGATTTCTAGTTCTTATTGAGAAATCACAGAAATTATTCAAGAAATCACAAGAAATCATCCCATTCTGGAAATCCCTGAGCCGCCGGATTGAGGAGTAACCAGCCCCTCCATTTTCCTATATCTATACAGTGTTCTATGTACCTGTGTGTGAGTTCCACGCCTTTAGGCAGCCCAGTGGTTCCACTGGAGTAAGGTAGGAGTATTGTATCATTTTTATCATCAATTCCAGTTGGCTCCCCCGTCTTTTCAAACTCCTCAATTCCATCAGCCACTAGATCCCTGAAATTTATCGTACCTGCGGGAAGTGGCTCACTGCCGCATGGAATAAGAATTGCTGGCAGGCGAATCTGATGTTGCTCTTTTATACTTGTTGCAATTAATGAATATTTCTCCTGAGTTGTGATTACTGCAGAAGCGTGACAATTTTCAATTTGATAGCTACATTCCCAGACTGTATATGCTGGATTTAATAATGTTACCTGAAATTGATAAGAGTAAATCAATCAATCAATCAATCAATCAAAAATAAATATGAAAACTATCAATCGAACAGAAAGATGGATGAAACAGAAAAATGAATAGTGATACGTATTTCATAGGAAATAGTCTAGATCTCTTGATTCGTAGTGATTTTGTGGTGAATTTCTCTTCTCTATAAAAATCCCGCGAAGAAAAACTCAGTAATATCACCTTAACGCCAGCTTCACTCGCTCCCAACATAATAATAACAAACTCAGGAATATTCGGAAGCCAAACTGCCAAAGTGTCTCCAGGTCTCAAATTATTCCGTCTTAAAGAAGTTGCGAATCTCCCACACAGTCTTCTCAACTCCCCATACGAGTAAGATCTGTGAGATGCTGCGCACACCTAGAAATACAAAATGTCTAGTTCGGGTCGCACAATTTTTGAATTTCCGTAAAAAAACATACAGAAAAAAAAATCAGAAACCGGTCGCTCGTTTCGCTCGCTCCCGGGTTGGTGTGCGACCGGTAGGAGTTGGCTGAAGTGGGTGTGACCCATTATGGATCGAACCAATAACTTCCCAACCGATCCCGTTTTTCTCAGTTTATTATTTTGAAAAAATGCAAACGTTGTGTTTTTTCGTTTTTAGCTCATATAAAAGCACTATCTTCAACTACTCAAAAAAAAAAAAAATTGCAGGCGGCTGTATCTTCGGTGTTACCCCTACTTATCACGGGTACATTTGATTACGGAATAAATGATCACAAATTTGAGGACAAGTCACCACAAATCCTTCTATCACAAGCTGTTTTGATCAGCTGTTTTGAACACTATTCTGATCACTATCGCGGCAAGCATCGACTACCACCGCGATAGTGATAAAAAAAAAGTGTAGCTTTCGTCTCAAGCGTCGACTACCACCGCATTAGAGATGAGCATCATAATCACAGTATTTCTTCCGCTTCCTTGATGAAATGAGACTGCCAGCATTAAATTGCTCCCAAATCACTTCAGACGACGCTTGCTCGACTTTCAAAAACATTGATAAATCTGCCCAACTGCTCATGATTTCTACCAACACGTTGATGAAAAGCATTATGCCAACCTTCCATCATATTATTGGTCCTGGGCTCATCATTGACGACTGCATAGTGATCAAAACAGTGTTCAAAATAGCTGATCAAAACAGCTTGTGATAGAAGAATTTGTGGTGACTTGTCCATGTGATCAGTTGTCCTGTGATCATTTGCCCTGTGATCAATTGTCGTGATCAGTTGCCCTGTGATCAATAGAGGTGCAATCGTATTTTCGATAAAGCTGTAGTTGTACGTAGAAACATCCATGGTCTTTACTACTTTCTCGAATTTTCAGGAAACTCCTTGAATTCTCTCGAATTTTCAGGAAACTCGTTGAAGTCTCGAATTTTCTAGAAAATCCTTGAATTTCCTCGAAATTTCTAGAAACTCCTTGAATTTTTCCGAAATTTCAAGAAATTTCTCGAATTATCTCGAAATGTCGAGAATTTTCTAGACTTCCGATAAATGGCGCTGCACATAAGGACCGTTTCCCAAAATGACCCCCCCCCCATATTGAAACCATAGACGTATCCACGTTAGCAAAGTCTTCTTATTACGCGTAATGCGTTTTTTTTTCATGATTTATTTGACGGATCGTAAAATGGATGCTTAACTTTGTTCTTCGGAGCCCAACGAATATTGAAAAACTGTGATGTAAGGGCGATTTTACAGATAAAAACATGAAGTAAAATGGATTGGGGTCATCTTTTTTTCCCAGTTCTTAACATATCCCATCATTTATCAAAAGTCGCTGAATGGATCCGTATCTCCATCGAAGACTTTCAAATCTCACCGACGTCTCCCCTTAATAATCGTACAGTAGGATTTCAGAGCAAGGATTTAATTTTTTTAATTTGAAAACATTTTTTTTCATTCGATCACAAATAGCAAAAAACCGACAGCAAAAGATGCTCGCGACCTTCTTATTTCCGTTATGTTATCGAAGAAAATGAATTTCCGAACAAAAAATGCATGAATCAGAATTATGAAGACCTTTGGATTGATGACAAACCAAAATTATCCGAAAGATGTAATTTTGTTTAAAAAAATGTAATTACACCTGAGCTGTATAGGGTATACCCCACGTGAGTGTTTACGGATCTTTTTTTTTACGTGAGAAACGACAGTTTAATGAAAAAGAATGCACGCAGAAAACGCAACGTATGCAGAATGCGACCTTATGCGTATTTCACAACCATATACGCAACATTCCAGCTATTTGCAATTATAATAGTGACGCACGCATGCGGTCAAATGATCAGAGTTTGAACAGACGAGACGGCGGCAAGATTTGATGTTTTAAAGACATCCAAGTGATTCAAACATTTTCTTTGAAAACATTTTTTTTATAGTTCATAGAGTTGACCAGAAACTCTTTCTTAAACACATTACGAATTTTAGTTTCCAACCACTCTGTGAAGAGAACAATTGAAAAAAAATACAATTCCATACATTGTGTCCAAGAGCGATAGGCCCACTCTTAACGATACCTTAAAAATTTAAAGCCTTAAGGAACTTCCGTAGTAAATTTTGGGCCTATGGAGTGGAGGAACATATCAAAGGTTCCAACACTCCGCTGCGTTCTTTGAAAAAAAATAATGAAATGACGAAAAGTTCATAGATTGAAATTTCGTCGGTTAGGTTTCTTTACACTTATTATTCATGATTAATCAATTCCAAATGATTTTTATTCCAAAATATTATTTATCCGAATTTTTTAACAAATAAAAATTTTCATGAGAAATTTGACAATCACGCATTTTTGTTCGACGCAGTTGGTATTATTCTTGTCTCCCGATAAAATCCTATACTGTACTATAGAATCTATAGTATATGCTTTGGCTGAGTTCACACGATGGCCTCCGTCGCGCGCACTCTAACATCCCTCAACGTTGCCATGTTCAGCCATCAGTTTACTCGAACGTAACTAAAATCCCAAACTATGCCATACATTTTCAATAATTATAAATAATCCCTGTGGTGACGGCTGATGAAATTGTGGGGATATGTTCCTGAAATATATACGGTTCTATTCGTGAAACGTTTGGATTTTTATTCCATTGTCGATTTTTTTTTTGTGATTTTTGAAAAAGTGGTGCCATAAGACTCTGTGTTAATGACACATTTTTCATATTTTCTCCTCAACAATCTACGTGGTTCAACGTTTTGGGACTTCTGGAGGATATTTGTAATCACTCAAAGAATATATTCTCAAAATTTCAGCGTTGCAGTTCATTTCGTTCTACTCCCATATACTTGCTGCGGAAGTTCCTTAAGGACGAAAAGGCTGTAATGGACGCAGACCAATGGTGGCCAGCCCCCTCCAAAAAAAAAAACGAAAGGCTTACAGAGATCATGACGCGAAAATCGAGAGAATCGTTAATCGCAAAAATGCATTGGACGATATTGAAAACTATCTGCGTGGAATCGCTCAATGCATCTTAATATAAAATGGAAAACAGGCTTTGACAAAAAAGCACGGAAAATCCTTAAAGAAAAAATACAACTATTAATACTAAATTATTGATCTCATATAATTGTTAATAGAAAAAAAAATTGAATCTTTGTATGATATTAATCATTAATGTATTAGGTCAGTGGTTAAATTGAGTTGCATCACATTGTCTGTTGAAAAGCAAAGAGTAAAAAAAATGAAAATAAAAAAAATTTCAGCTAATTCCCAAAAATATAGTAATTTTACAAAACTAGTTGATATATTGTAGTTGAAAATTTCAGTTCAAATGTCGTAGTTGGAATGTCGCCTAGTTGAAAAGACGTGCCACCATTCTGAAGGTTCGAATGATGCCCTATATTACATAGAAAATAAAGCATCTAGCGCTATGTTACCGACGTAAATAATAGGTCTGATCTATTCAACCGTTGCACCTCCACCGAGTTCATTTTGCACTAGTCTAGTTGAAATTCGCGACGTAAGAAGACTTCTTATCAGTATAAATTTGGTTATGAGATATTTCGATACATACTAGTGCAGTTTTGTTCCACCACTTATCAACATCCTTCCAAATAAATTGATGCACATAGATTCCTGAGGGAATCTCGACATCTCCAAAAGGGCCCATAAAAACATTCTGTTGATCAACAATAGATCTCACGGCATTTAAAGCTGCTTTGACGTTCGAATCTTTTTGAAAATTACTAAAGTAATTTTTGCACTGTAATCGGCATAACTCGGAATCACTTTGCCGCAACAATTGGTTGATTATAGTTTTTTTAGCTGTAGACCATGGTAATCGATAAACAATCGGAAGTCGCAGCATTGTCAACTTTGTTGTAATTTGTTAACGTGATAGATGAATAATGACGGACAATCGCGACAGCCGTATGAACTGTAATCTGCAGATTCTATGTGACTAATATCATTGGCGGGGAAATATGAAGCTACGACTATACGATTGTCATTACGACAGTCTACATTAAGATTAGCATAAACATTAGTCTCCCCAAACATTAGCCGCGGTTTCGAAGAGTGGGGGCATGTAGACGAGTGGGGACGGAGTGCAGGCTTACGGTCAGACGGATTCTCATCTCTGAGAACCAAAGGCACTCTTTTCTCAGGCCGTCAGTCTGAGACTGACAACCTACGGCTCATGTATATTGAGGTATATCCCTAGAAAACACGTTTTTATTAAGATTGTCCCCATGAGTCAATAATTTATGAGAATGCAATAAATTAAGTCATTTAGAATTTTTTCCGGAAATCCACAGTGACTAACTTTTGGGTGCTATTGTCTTCGGACATACCTTAAGGTATTTGAAGATGTTTAGCCAAAATCGCAAGTATTAAAAAAAATTAGTTTTTTTTTCAACTGCTTTATCTTGATTGAAATTTCAATCCACCAACCCACGTTCATTACTTAGAAATGGAATGGGCAAAATGCACTAAAGGCATGCGCTACCATGCGCTTATATGGGATAGAATATTGCAAATATTTTGCACGGGT